TCGCTCTCGTCTCGAGGATGTCCGCTTCTATTTGTACGCGAACGGAAGAGACGGCGAGTACAGCGAAACGGTGAACCTTCTTTCGAAGACTGTGCATTCGTTCACTCATGAAACTCAAGTCAAGCGAAGAACGAAGGAGGGGGGTGAGGTGCAGGCGACTCTTCGGGATGTGTGGGCGACGTAGTTTTTGGTGTTTGAGGACAACACACTTGGCAGCCCACATTCATTGTTTGGGATTTTTTTGCCTTTCTCGTGGAGTTAAATTTTGGCATTTTTTGTTTTGTGTTTTTGCCTCGTGTTGACCTTTGGGGAAGAGCGGTGTTCTCTTTTCGGTGGGTTTGCCCGATTTTTTGTATGTTGTGGTCTGCGCTACCGACCGTTTCCTAGTGTCCCTCAGATCCCTCTAAGGGGTCGACTGGGTTTGTTTGGTCCCTATGTGGCAGGTAACTTGCGTGTATCGTATCAGAGCTAGTTCCAACAAACTGATGTGTCTCAGGTGTGTTCGCGATATCACGGGCATGATGTTCACCGTGAGGACAACGCCTTGACAATAAGAAAAGCCTACAACAACACCAGCGCACACTGCCGTACACATTACAATAGGTCGTGCTGTACTCCTTCCCGCGTTTCGGTGGTGGAGGGAAATTCAAAAATGTGTACAGTATTGGAGTACAGCAGCAGTAGTGTTGCCGCCTTCAATTGACGTGTTGTCGCAGTTTTTAAGCAGCACAATTTCGTGGTCGCATTCCTGCTTCAAATGCGCGTATTTTGACACATGTTACACCTCCATTGACCCCGGGGACGGTGAGTTAGTGGCCCCGGAATCCTAAAGACACTTCCCCGCGTTAAAGACACTAAAAAAAAAAACGCGGTGTGTCTTTAAAGCGGGGTCGACTGTATATACTTTATATCGTACGAAAGCTCTGTTTCAGGCGGATCGTTTGATCGGAACAGTTTTTTTTTGTTTTTTTTTTGGGGTTTCGTCCTTGTTCGCTTTTAAAGTGTACGGGGAGGAGGATACTGCGCCTGAATGCATGAGCTCCCTCGTGCTCACATGAGACTCTGGGTACGCTGGCCGAGAACGGCACCTGGAGCTATCGAAAACTCCGAACATGGTGATGTTGCGTGTTTGTGCCATCCTTGTCGCAAAGGGGAGGGGGACTGGCGCAATAGCATGCGTGCGTTTCATCATTCGAAGGCGAAGGCGGGTCTTTTTGGTACATGGCATTCATGTTGGTCAACTCTCGAATCGGCTACAGCACCCACCCACCCCCAGGACAGTTCGTCTGAGCGACCACATCCAAGAACCCGTCCGTGTTCGTTTGGATGTTCGTTGGTCTCTCAACTTCTTCGCAATTGCATTAGCTTTGTGGCATGTCGTATTGGCATCGGTGCAGAAATATGTTGTTGCTGAAACTGGCTCTTCCCTGCTCAGCTTGTCTGAAGTTGCGGTCATGCTCAGGTGCTATTTGTCACTCGCGCCCCTCTTCGTTTTGTCTCCCCTGCTGCCTTTTCGTGGTGGGCAACACTACCACGACATGATCCAAACACACCTCTTTGAAGGTGGTTTAGATTTGCTTCTGCCCGACTTGGATTTTAACAGTTCACAGCCTGACGCGCCAAGCGTTATCTTGTTCTGTACTTCGACAAACGTAGCAGCTAAGCTCAAACTCAGCTCCCCCCACAGAGTCCCTTGTTAAATGCATTTTGGGCAACCCGTGCCGTCTTTTCGGCTGCTTGGACGCACAGATGGACGTGGTGAAGACACGAATGCAATTGCAGAGCGAGCTGGTGCTGCGGAAGGCCGGCCAGAGCCGGCAGATGACCCAGGTCTATCGAGCCCCCTACAAAAATGCCCTCCATGCCTTCTACAAGATCTGCAGGGACGAGGGGGTTCGGGGAATTCAGGCGGGACTGCTGCCGGGTATCATGTACCAGGTATCTGTTGTTTGTGTTTGCCTCGCAGCCAATGTTGTCCTTCAGCGCAGTATTTCTCTCTCCCCGTCTCTCTCTCCCCGTCTCTCTCTCCCTCTCTGTCTCTCTCCCTCTCTTCCCCTCTGTCTGTCTGTCTGCCTCTCTCTCTCCGTCTCTCGCCCTCTGTGCCTCTCTCTATTTTCTCTCTCTTTTTCTCTCGGTCTCTCTCTCCTTCCCTCTCTCTCGGTGGATGTAACTTTTCTTTTCTCTGGCTTTTTTCCTCACGACCATACCATCCACGCGAATGTCACTTTTCCCACCCTCCGCCCCCCGCACTTCCCTACAACCAGCACCGCTGCCACCGCTGCCACCGCTGCCACCGCTGCCACCGCTGCCACCGCCACCACCAAAATATAACAGATTTTGATGAACGGGACACGTTTGTCCCTGTTCGCACCTGTGCAAAAAGTCCTTGGCGTCGATGTCGAGAACAAGGGCAAGATTGGTTTCTTCTTCCGGAACCTCGCTGCGGGGGCGGCGTGCGGGGCGGCGGGGGCGCTGATCGCGTCTCCCGTGTTTTTGGTCAAGGCCCGGCTGCAAAGCCAGTCGAAGGCGCACAGCCTCAGGACGGCTGGGGGCGGGGAGTTTCGGTGGGTGCGAGGTGGTACGTGACTGTTGCGAGTTGTTGGCGATGTACTCAGTGATTCGTCGGTAAACGCTAGCCAAGTGCAGCTACTCCGCCCTAAGTCCAGCAGGAGGCACAGAACGGCTAGCAGCGGTAGATCAGCATCCCCCAGCTGCATGCAGCCGTGAGCGCTGCTCTGCAAGGCTGTCGGTGCAGCCCAATCTGTAATAGGTACGCGATCTCGCGGGCGGGGGTTGCACGCGGTGGCCATAAATCCTCTGCCGAGTGCTTCATGTGAACAGCAGGCAGCCAGACTCGCTTCATCCCAACGAAGAGGGGGGCAAGCAACAGCGTGGGGGCTGCTGAACATTGACGTCGTGGGGACGTGCCGCTAGAGACGGTATCGTGTGCTCCTGTTGTTGTCTCGCTTCCTCCTCCGGGAGGCTCTCTCATCGAACGTGAAATTACGGCGCACACAAGAGAAGACCTCAAAGCCGCCGCCGGCCTCCGTGACAGGTGACGAATGAATGTACACATCCTTGGGCGTGATGGGATGTACACCTACAAGGGCCACGGGGACGTGGTACCTCACCTTCCGCCATGTTGCTCGATGAATACAACTTAATACAAATAACGCCGCATTGGTACGACGGACATGCGTACACGTACAACACAGGTACCGAGGGACGTGGCATGCCTTTACGGATATCGTACAAAAAGAGGGGCTGCGCGGGCTGACCCGGGGCACGAGCGCGTCCGTGATGAGGGTTATGGTTGGGTCCGCGACCCAGCTGTCGGTGTACTCCTCCTGCAAGGCGGCCGTGCTGGGAACGGGCTTGTTCGAGGACAACGTCTACGCGTGAGACCAGTGTCGATTTTCATCTTCTCGTTTTCGAACGTCTTTGGATGACAAGCTTTCTGGGTTTACACAATCTTGGAATCGCGATTTTCGGTTGGTTTTGTGGTTTGTTGTGTTTGCTGATCGATACATGCTTAGTACAAGTAGTTGTTTGGGTATTTTGTTTGTTGAATCTGTTGTTGTGCCTCTACAAAAGTGCGGCGCAGGCCTAGGGATAAATCTGGTATCTAAGATATGGCCGCGGGGGGATCTTTGCAAAACTTGATACCAACCACTTGGCAACGCTCGCGAAGCACTAGCCAATGCAACGAAACACGTCGACATCTATTAGGCCAGAACCAGGAGAGTAGACGAGATAGGCAAGACACATTCATAGGGAAGGGTGTTAAGGAAGGAACGGCACACATTCGTGTTGATCGCGTAGTTCTTGGGGAAAATGTTTCGCATCTGCCCACTTGCGGAGGGACAACCAGGCGTGCTTCTGCCCCGAAGTAAGAAGAGCACACCCGGATCAATCAAGTCTATCAGCCACGGCCGGTTCGCCGTGAACAGAAATATTGCCATAGCGACAAACCCCAATGACCCACACACCACTAATTGCAAAGGAACAAGAAGCGGGGCAGCAATACCCCCAAACTGGAAACACCAGGTCAAGGCCGTCCCAAAAGCAGACACCCCCCCCGCCTACACACGCAGTGAATCGTACGCCGTTTGTTTCGTGTGACCCGTGTCCTGTTCAAACTATAGGTATCTGGCCTCGAGCTCAGTGGCCGGGCTAGTTGTCACCACGACAATGAACCCGTTGGACGTGGTTAGCACAAGGCTGTACGCTCAGGGGACCGGCGTGGCAGAGCGATACACGGGGCCCCTGGATTGCGCCGTCAAGACCGTCAGCGCCGAAGGGTTCAGGGGGGTAAGCTGAGCATGATATGCTGTAGCTCCATTGCAGTCCAATGCCACCCGCAGGGTGTGCAGATTGGTGGACGCGAGGGTGGGGCGAGGGGGGCAACTTTTCTATGCGGGGCGGGACTTGGATTGCGTCGGCGATACCCTTTCGTGCGGCGAGATCCGTTCCGCTGCGGAGTTGCTGTCCCACAACGATGGAGTGGTTACTGGTTTCGAGATGACATAGAATTTTGGAAATAGCGTAGACGAGATTCCGATCAGGGCGCAGGGCGCGGACCCAGGGTGTGCGGGTAAGAGAAAACCCTTCGACTCATTCAGGAGGTGCTCTTCGAGTGTGTCATTGGTTGGGCCGAACGCTGCCACCTAGGAAGGGCTCAGGGGGGCAAGCGACACGTTTAAGGGGTAGACTTGCGGGCACACATGCGGAAGGAGAGTTTCGCTTATCGAAGTGGAGCGGTGACGAGGGGTGAGGGAAGAGAAGCAGCAGTTGTCGGACACTACTGCTGCTCTTTTTGCTATTTTCTCGTCCGGGTTCTTGTTCTGAGGGGGATTCGTGCGAGGATACACACACACAACGGTTACGGCAACGAGTCTGCTCGTGTTCATTTCCACTTTCCGGCAACAACCACACCATTGACTTGCATCATGCCCCACTCAATTCGCAGCACCTGGGTGTTCCATCGCGCACGTGCATGCTTGCTGCTGTTGTAATTATCCTGATTTCGCCGTGTGGATGATCTTGGTTGGAACCGGGTTCGATGCTGCTGCGGAACTCACGCGGATGACTTGGGCCCGACTGCACGTCGTCCGGCGCCGTCGAAATCTCCGCAGCTGTACAAGGGCTGGACAGCGCAATACTTTAGGTTGGGGGTGAGTGCTGCTGCCGTTGATGTTGTTGCAGCTGTTTTTAGGTATGTTGTTGTTGTCGCCGCCGAATTTGTTGTAACCGCCGCTGCCGTCGCTTCGTTTCTCGGAGACCTTCACCCCGAGCACCTTACCTCTACGTGAAAAGTGGCATATTTTTCTTCGAGCACGATGCTCCAACCTCCAGATTTACATTGTGTACGAAGCAGTTTATTACCCCCCCCTCTCCCCCCCCCGTCCCCCCCGGTGTTTACCATCGGGGTTGGGTTTTCGTCGCTTGGCAACGACGTTGTAAAACAAGC